ACCACTTTGAGCCATTCTACAGGTAGGTCCATATTGATTGTTTCGAGCCCGAAGCGCCGTGCGTGGTGATTTCAAATAAATTATTATTATTTAAATGTAAGTAGAAGAAGAAAACACATGGGAAAGAGTTATGAAGCAACTATCCACGAATGTAACTGACTGTGATGTATGCATGTATATTTCTTTTTAAGAAAGAGCTTGGCTGATGCGGTGTATTGGAACTCATGTGAAATCTACACCACGATTGTTTTCGTTAATAAATATTATTTCTTTTCTCTTCACTCTCTGCCTCGGTGCTTTTTGTTGCTCAATCGTCGTGAGTTCCATTTGGACCGTAGATGAGAATTATTGTTATTATTAGGCCATCCAGAATTAATTCGTTGTTTCGGGTCACCCGACCGACCGTCTTTTTTCATCCGACCGCAAACTGTTTTTTTTATAGTGCATGCAAATGTACAGACTAGACTATTTACACACGCGACCCCAATAATAGCAGTCCAGATATCGACCTCAGAAGCAGCCATGGCTAGCCAAATCATAAATGTCAGGATGCAGCGCTTGGTGACGACGTTGTCTTCTATCTCCGATCCGCAATTGGTCCTGAAACAGCATCAGCTCCGCCACCTTGTCGCTATTTACAGAAGTTTTCAATGTGAGAGCTGCTCGCCGGTTAGACTCGTTTGCCAGCGAGGCCAATATCTGGTCCGGAGGGGACCTGGATCTGATGGGACAATGACTGCGCTGGATTGTTTCCACTACAGTCAAATTTGATCGACAGGCTAGATGGGCAAAAGCTATTCAATTTACATGTGCATGGACGTAACCAAAATAAAAATAAAATAAAATAAAAAATATACCCGACCGACCGACCCTGGTACGGGTGAGTGAAGTGACCCGAAACAACGAATTAATTCTAGGTGGCCTTATTATTATTATTATTATTATTATTATTATTTGAAACTCGGATGTTGAGCCATAAATAAATGTAAAAGAGAAAAGGACATATGGATACGAGTTTAGAGTAACTCTCCATCACTGTAACATGATACTATATACAGTCAGAAAGTGCAATAACTAGGCACAAAACTGACAGAGTACTGAGACATTCGACGTCCTGACACCTAACGTTAACACATCTCCGTAGCGCTAACTGACAGCCTTCCAACTTGGAAGGTTCAAGGTTATGGAAAGACCAAAGAGGGGAAGGCAAGCGCAACGAAAACGAGCAAAAGCTACAGTCCCAACGGAACAAAGAATGTCGATTGTTACTGGACGATGACGAGACCAGTATGATATTTGACAAAGCGGTCTAACTACAATTCGAATAGTTAGGTGTCAGGACATCGAATGTCTCAGTACTCTGTCAGTTTTGTGCCTAGTTATTGCACTTTCTGACTGTATATAGTATCATGTTACAGTGATGGAGAGTTACTCTAAACTCGTATCCATATGTCCTTTTCTCTTTTACATTATTATTATTATTATTATTATTTGGAAAGGATTGGGAGAACTTCAAATTCAAAGGATCAGTCGGGGAAGTGAACTGCCTGAAAAGAGAAAAAAACGCCAGACCCACCAGGACTCGAACCTGGGACCCTGCTTGTTATAGCTCAGTGGTTAGAGCATTGCTCATGACAAGCAGGGTCCCAGGTTCGAGTCCTGGTGGGTCTGGCGTTTTTTTCTCTTTTCAGGCAGTTCACTTCCCCAACTGATCCTTTGAATTATTATCATTATTATTATTTGAAAGTAGGACGGAGGCAGAAAATATTACAAAAAAAGTATTGTCTACGCATGCATCTACGCAAGAGTCACCACCAGCCAATTAGGACATGTGTCAAAGTATTGAACGTTTTCGTTCCCTTCTTGTCAAAATACTACAGGGAATGATGGAAATAAGCTAAAAGACTACAACTATAAGGAAAAGAAGTTCAGAAATATATCACTCCAATTATGTGTAGAAGTGACACGAAAAAAATAGATGTGAAGAATCAAGAAAACAGCATGCAAATCCAATAAGTGACAAAAACGTAGTGACAAGAAAAAAGAGAGAAACATCAAGAGATCTATTTCGCACCTTCACGACGAACAGTGCCAAACAACTGTAAAGACAACACATTCTCCTTCTGAACACAAAGCTCAGGGTCTAACTTACGTATGTACAAAGCTTCCAACACGGCAAGATGTAACAAAGACCTACCACGCGACAAAACAGAGAATACATCATCGGAGTACCACTCACGACAACTAGCACTGCCCGACAGGTGACACTTGATTGCCGAGGTACCGTTTCCCTGACTCGATTCCATATGTCCTTTTCCTTTCTACTTTTAATAATATTATTATTAAGCTTCCGTGGAGATAAAAATGTAATCAATGCAATAAATAGAGTAAGCTGCGCACTCAGTACAAACACCATAAGCAAAACTTGTTTTCATGTATATAAATAAGCTTGTTCCTAAACGTTTTCGTCGCCATCTCATCAGAGGATTACTGGCAAATCAACAAAAGCTCTTAACTCAATATATATACGCACAATGCAAGTAATAAATTAGACCCTAACTAGCGCGATAAAATGAGAGCTGAAAGAAACATTACATCATTCAACGATATCAGGTGACAACAGATGCGATAAATTCACCACTAGAAAGTTACCATGCAACCACAAACGAGAACTACTGATCTAAATTCACAAACAAGTTCAACGTAAACAAATTCTTTTTCTGCCTACACAAAATCGGCTTGGTGGTAAAAATGTAAATAGATTCCAATACACGCAAATACCTTTGACTACGTGAACGAGACCGAGCAGAAAAGCAATCATCAGCTTTTGTTGATTTGCCAGTAATCCTCTGATGAGATGGCGACGAAAACGTTTAGGAACAAGCTTCTTTATATACATGAAAACAAGTTTTGCTAATGGTGTTTGTACTGAGTGCGCAGCTTACTCTATTTATTGCGTTGAATATTATTATTATTATTATTATTATTATTATCGAACCTTCGACTCGGCAAACCTGCAAGAAAGCACCACTCCCTGCTCAATACACAGTGTTTCGGGGAATTCGCCCCTCATCAGTTGAGCTTGAGTAGGCTGAGGAAGATTGCAGGTTTGCTGAGTCGAAGGTTCGGTGGATTTCTCGTGTGCTCTGGATGGCAGTCGTGAGTCAGTCAAGTGTCAAGTAAAGTCGGCGGAATAGCGCGAGCTCCGGTGTGGGGAGCGAACCCTTTTCTTACAAATCATCGCCGAAGTCGCAACCACTACTTCGTATTATTATTATTATTATTATAATTATCCACGGATGTAAGAAAATAATAAGATGTCAGTATGTGCAATACCAGGGCCCAAAAGCACAGGCTACTGAGGCATTCAACGACCTAAGACCTAGCTCTAACACATCTCCAGTGCGCAAACCACCAGCCTTCCAACTTGGAACGTTCAAGATTGGGTATGACCAACGAGGGGAAGGTGAGCGCAGCTGAAATGTGCACCAGCTAAGTCCCACGGCAACAAAGAATGCAGACTTTTACAGGACGATGACGAGACCAGTTAAAAATGATGATGTGATTGGATTGCGCACTGGAGATGTGTAAGAGCTAGGTCTTTGGTCGCTGAATGTTGTTGTTGTTGTTGTTGTTGTTGTTATTTGAATTTGAATTCTTTATTCTTTATTTTATCAGGGGCAGTTCAACACTTTTGATGACCTGTTGCCACCGCCAGCTCCGCACACACTGGAGACGCCCGTTTCCACCGAAGAAGTAGAGGCGGCTTTGAGGCGACTGCGAAATCAGAAAGCATGTGGGCCGGATGGTGTATGCGCAGAACTCCTCAATACGGTGCTGAGTACATCTCCCCGATCATCACCACCATGATCAACAACAGCATCACCAGGGGCGACCACCTGTGTAGTGTTATTGGTCCAGGCATATTGATACCGTTACCAAAACCTAACAAGGCGCGGGGACCAGTTGCAAACCTGAGACCGATTGTATTGCTGAACACCCTGCGCAAGGTCATTTCACTCGTTGTGGTCAAACGTATCACACCACGTGTGTCGCATTATCATGGATCAACTTCGTCTGGTTTCAGGCCTGGCCGTGGCACTGCCGATGTGGTGTGGACACAGAGCTGGATTTCGGCTAAGGCCACCCACTTCGTGTGGGGTTGCCACGTCCTTGGCCTCGACATGTCGAAAGCATTCGACACCATTAGCCGCACAAAGCTCCTTGCTGTTATGTCAGAGATTACCGGACCTGACGAGGCTTGCCTGAGTCACCATTTGCTGTATGGTACAACACTCTCTGTGAAAGTGGGTGCCACTTCAGCGGAGGCATTTGTTAGCACGCTAGGTACACCACAGGGTGATGGGCTGAGCCCGGTTCTGTTTGTTTCCTACCTGGAAGCAGCACTGAGGGAGACTCGAACCAAACTACCACCACAGCCAGACACTGATGCAGCAATACCACAGGAAACAGGATATGCCGATGACATTTCCTTTTATTCGACTGAGCGACAATGGATTGCCAACTCCCTACCCGTGATAGCTGACGGCCTGGGTGACTGGTCACTCAACGTTAACAGCAGCAAAAAAGAGTGGCTTCACATCTCTGCCTCCACCACCGAATGGCGAAGATCGAAGCAACTTGGCTCTCTCTTGGGGGAAGAGGAGGACTTGAGCCGACGAATGGACCAAGCATCAACATCATATGGCCGTATGTATTCGCTCTGGATACGACGTCAACTTGTATCCGAGTAAACCAGGCTTCGTCTCTACAATGCCATTGTCCTACCAACACTGTTATACAACTGCGAAACCTGGGGACTGACAGAGGCTGCACTGGACAGGCTGAACGCCTTCCATAGACGTCAACTACGGAACTTGTTCGGAATTAGGTATCCTGCCATCATCTCCAACAAAGACCTATATTCCAGAGCACACACACAGCCACTTTCGCACACCGTTGCTGTCCGCCGTTTCCGGATGTTGGGCCATGTTCTGAGGATGCCCTCAGATGCCCCGCCACAGCAGGCAGTGGACAACTACTTCTGTCGAGATGTCACCGGTGTGCGTGGACGCCCGAAATCGAACCTGGCCACGGCAGTCAAGGCAAGCACAGCTGCCAGAGACATGCCACTGAAGATCATGATTGATCTGAGTGGGCTCAGAATGCGCGCTTTGGACAAGCAATCATGGAGGGAACTCTCAGCCTGAGCTGGTTTTGCTCGCAGCTGCAACGCACGGGGTAGTGAACCCAGGACAGAAGCGGACCAGGCATCATGACTTTGCACATCTATCGTTATGCTGCTTCATTACGCGACCTGTTTTATTATTAGGTTAGGTGCCTCCCTCACTCGTCAATAATCACCATGTAGTCGTTTCGTTCGTCTTGGTCTCTTGTCCCGTCTCTAATAAATGTCGTTCCACCAACCTACCTGTTCCCGTTGTAATGTCTGAATAATATGTCGTCAGTCGTCCTTTCTCGAACTCAACATTGGCGCCCGATTATTGAGCGACCCACGACCCTGAGATCATCCCATGCCCATCCGTCCTCAACCGCCTTTCGTCTCGTCTATGTCAACCTCGTCTCGTCCATGTCAGCCTCGTCTCTCCTACGCCAACCTCGTCTCGTCTCTATCTTGTCTCTCCTATGCCAACCTCGTGTCGTTCAAGCCATGCAGGTCAGCTACCTTTCTCTCTTTCTTTTTTTTGTATGCGTTCCTTCTTCGTCAAATTTATTTTTGTGAAGTTTTTTGTAGTGTGTGTGCGCGCGGGTGTCCGTGCAAAATACTAGTCATCAGAATACAATTCAAGTCCCTCGTCGAACTCCAATAGTTATTTTTTGTGCCATGTTTTGAAGGGGCGTTTGGGCCCGTTGTTATTGGCAATGTACACACTATAGTATGAGTAGTACAGGAACGTTGACGGTTGTAATGATCTGTAGTGCATTTTTTAGTACACACTTTTGTGAGGCCCGTGCGTTGTGTGTGTGTGTTTTCTTCTTCAGTCATTTTTTTTAATCTTTTTCTCTCTTTTTTTTCTCTCCGCGAGGACGCGGGATTTTTTTTCGTGGAGGGGTGGTATGTTAGGTGCCTCCTCCCGTACCTTATCTAGCTGGCCTGCATGCACTTGCATACTCACCTTTTGTCTCCTTTTGTTCCGTTGGCCTGGGTAGCTACTTGCGTGCCCATATTTGCCATAGCTACCCAGGTCATCTATCTTGCCGTTCAGACTTGATCTCTCTCTCTTTTCTCTCTCTCTTTTCTCACTCTTCAATAATCTCAATGTAGTCGTTTCGTTTTAGCTTGGTCTCTTGTCTCGTCGTCTATAATAAATGTCGTTCCCCCAACCTACCTGTTCCCGTTGTAATGTCTGGATAATGTGTCGTCAGTCGTCCTGTTTCGAACTCAACAATTATCATTATTCTCACGATGGCACCATCGCCAATAAGAGATAAATTTATGAGAAGGTGAGATTGTTGTTGTTGCTGTTGTTGACTTTTATTTTACTTCACCAACTGCACAGGCATGATTGCCTTCTCCCCGTCCCATAGGCCCGGTTCTCATCGAAAGATGAAGGAAATGATATGATATTCACTGGTTTGGGGGAAAGACACAATTTGTTATGAGGAAATGTATAGAAATAAAGACATGCAAGCGGTATAATTATTAAAAAGTCTCAGTAGCCTGTCAGTTTTGTGCCCTGTTATCGCACATACTCGCCGCTTATTATCTTGTTATATTCGTGGATAGTTGCTTCATAACTCGTTCCCATCTGTTTTCTTCTTCGATTTTACATTTCCTACTGGCTCATTAAAAAAAATTAAAAAATTCACGGTATCCCGTGAAACTCGGCTGGAAGCCGAGTTTTCCGCATCCGCCGTGGGAACACCCCACAAGTAAACCCAGAGGTCGCTTACCCGAGGTTTTGCCGCACTACAAAATTACTATCATGGTAGTAGTCGGTTCAATACATCACATAAAACAAATACACAATCCATGTACTTCGGGATATCGCAACCTGGTGTTCCCCTCTGGTTGTCCCGCCCTACCACATCTCAATTCCCATTTGCATTGAAAGTTCACTTTCATGGCCAATGCTAAGATGATTAACTTGAGAAATTCCTATGCTCACTGTTTTCTTCACTTCACTTATCCAGGTTTTCTATTTTTGTTCTTAGATCTTTTCTCCCTTTCCATCGTCATCATAACATTGGGCATGATTGCCCGTTTGACCTCTGACTGTTTTGACCTGACGAGACGACATGGTGCATTCAAACACCAGCATGACTAGTTTGCCAGCAACACTCCACAACAGGTTGCAGTTGTCTGCATTACATTCATTTGCCCTGCTCCTGCAGCATGCCATTTTTTTCACACTGAAGATGGGCCATGCCCGAAAATTTGGTGCATTCCATTTATATCTAATTTTTTTTTTTTTTTGGAAGTGAAGTGAACTTATGCAGCGAAGAGACCGTAGTTGGAGAGTTTGAAGTGAGGTACCCTGTAACCTTTATAGTGTTATCAGTATTTCAGGCTTCTGTAGAGGCATGATTAGTTTCAGGACCCCAAAAATGCCAAGTCTCGACCATGGAAATCGAGATTTGTTCAAATTTTTTCGTAATTTGAAAACTGGTTGCCAATATCCTCAATCATATGACTCTAGTTGACATAGGAGTCCAGTGCAATTTTCCCAATTTCTTCTTGCTTGTGCTGGTGTGAAGGTGTCCTTATTGGCTGCTTGCTTCTCTTCAGTCCTCTGTTGCTGATTGGATGCAAGGGTAAGATAATGTATATAATTATTGATAATGCTGAGAAAAAGGACAGACTTCAGGCTCATCAACATCAGCTTGAAAGCGGTTTCTCGTAAAAAAACTTAAATCCATTGTCCTTGTTCATTTGATTTTAGAGGAAGACGCCTGCTCCAATGGTTGGAGCTCGCGCTTCCTGCTGATTGACTGACACTTGACTGACTTACGACTGCAGTTTGGAGCACACGAGAAGAATACTGGGCCACTCACTCGGCAAACCTGCAAGAAAGCACCGTGCCAGAAACTAGTAGGACAAAAGGATTTCTGCCTTTTGGTCAGGGGATTGAAGCCGTTGCTATGTGCGTGACCAAGAGTACATAACCAAGAGTGTGCAACTTGACGATCCCCAGCCCACGGCGGAATTTTTTTATGACATCAGTCTTTGGCGGCTGTTTGGCTCGCTGATGCCATCATGCGTAGCCAGAGATCAAAGTACAACGAATTTGTACATCACAGCTAAGGTAGTCGAAGCAGAACAACGGACGATAGATCGATGTGTCTTGAACCTGACGAACTCTCAACGTATCTACAAAACAAGCGCGGGAAAACATACCCACTTCATCATACTTCTGCCCAAGAATGACGCAATAAAAAAAATCCGCCGTGGGTGAACCCATCTCAGCTCAAGATAGGAGTTGCACACTCTTGGTTATGTACTCTTGGCGTGACCTATAACTTAGCTCAGGGTATTCCCCTTGAAGGACACTTGACCTATCACATAGCTCAGGGTATTCCCCTTGAAGGACACTTACCGTATTTTCCAGAGTCGATGGCGCACCTAGATTTGTTTTGGTGGCGAGATGCAGACATTTACCTGGTTTATCACAGTTATTTTCACCATCACAGCATACCGTATTTTCCGGAGTATAGTGCGCACTTTAGATGTGCTATTTTAGGCCCTAAATCGCAGGTGCGCACTATGCTCCAAATGTGAAATGCATGTTCATCAATGAAGATTGAAGTGTACACCCCCAATGAAGATTGGGGGTGCGCGTTATACAAAGGTGCGCACTGTACTCCGAAAAATGCGGTACCGTAAAAGCCCGTGTATAGGCCCCCGGGCGCATAGAATAGCAGCCTTGATTTCCTGGGCGTACACAAGGGTACGGGCGTTATTTTGGAACCGGGCGTATATTTGGAATAGGGATAGCAGTAAGTATTGGGTATCGGTACCTGTACATGTACTGGTGTTTCCGGCATACCTGGGCGTAAACATGGGCATGGGCGCTATTTTGAAACAAAAGTGTTGACTTCCCCTGACTGGGTGTGTACACGGAGGGTGGGCGTAATTTCGAGCGGGCGTAAACACGGGCTTTTACGGTTTGCTGCACTGACGTTTTTTTCGGTGACGTGACTGCAACCATGTTCGATTGGAAATAAAGGAGGAGCGCTGCATCGCAGCCTTTTCGGACCAAGAACAGTCGACTCAGCATCCAAAAGACTACAACTTATGGGCCAATCGCGGTCATCCTTGCTTTTATAAGAACGGAATGGCGCTTTTAGTGACATTTTGAATACAAATCACCATCTAGTAGGGCGCAGTCACCCAGTTTCGGTGGAAGTGCGCGAGTTCAATTGGGATTCAAGTAGGAAGAGAGCGTCTCAGCTTTCACGCACCAAGACGATTCGACTCAGCACCCCGAAGACTACAACTGGTGAAATTTTGATTTTTGCCTTGACTTCCCCTTTCAAGTGCGACCGGCATACTCCAGGAAATATAGAATCTCGTGGTGACTTTAATATTGTGACAGTAGTGAATTCGAATGGAGACAGAGGAAATGTTCTGCTCTTCGCTGGATGTCGGGGTGACCACACTCTCTATAGTGTATTGTGCACTTTTACTTGCAAATAAGGTTCAAGGCAATTGACACAACCTTGACACATCAATAATCTTTGGCCTTTGTCCGCATGCTGCAATGTTCTTCTTCGGGAGGTGCAGAGACTGATTTCTCGCCGCTGTGCCATTCTCTGGCATACTGACCAATGTTGTTGTGTATGTTGGTTTAATGCAGGGTGTGCGGACACGGACCCGTGTTGCCTGAACAAGCGCATCGTGACACGCCGGGATCACGTCTGCCGCGCCGCCACCAGCGAATGCGATGTGCCAGAGTACTGCGACGGCGAGAATGCCACATGTCCAGAGGACCTGACCGCTCGCAATGGCTGGCCTTGCTCCAATAGTCAAGCATACTGCTGGAGTGGAGTTTGCCAATCATTATCGAGCCAGTGTCAGAGGGCCTGGAACGATTCAGCTCAAGGACAAGCTGCTCGGAATTGCTTCACAGTCATTAACACAGTTGGATTAGATACTGGCAACTGTGGTTTCAACTTGTCCACTTCCTCCTCCGCAGCAAACTATATGCCCTGTGCAGCAGTAGATGCCCTCTGTGGTACTTTGTTTTGCCGTCCAGGTCTGAAAACTGTCCCAGTCCTTAGTTATGTTAAATACAGAACCTATATAGTGCGAGGTGTTGACAAATGCAGAGGTTTCTTTGCATCTCCACCAAAAAGCCATGACGACCCATCGCTCGTGAATGACGGAACACTCTGTGATGCCAGCGGTGCTAATAAGGACCTCGTGTGCCACAGGCAACGCTGCACGGAGAAGTCTCGAGTCACCAGGCAGTGTTCGGCCGATTCTGATGGCGGCAAAGAGTGCCATGGAATCGGTGTGTGCACAACTGCAACAACCTGCCATTACCCACCCACACTTGGTAAGCCATCACACTTGTATGAGTTTTCAACTCATTAGAGAGATTCCGAATAACGTAATATAACTACTAAAAACTTAGTCGGCCTACAGAAAGAACGTCAAAGTGCTCTTTTCATAGGCTTTGCACTGCAATTCCTGATGCTTTTTTTGGCAGTGCATTTCCCCTGGCTTGGGCGTGTTGCTGTAGGATGTCGTACTGCATGGGATTGTTGTGTTTGCCACGTGCGACTTGGTTGTGCATGGGATGTGGGGCACGTTCCGCGTGCTGTGCATAGGTTGAGGCTGGAGGGGTTGTGGGTACGAATCGTTCAGCAGAATCTGATCGCCTGGCTTGTGGCCCAGTTTGGGCGGGCTGAGAATAGGTTTGCTTCTGTGTGCATGAACCCTGTAGATCTACGTGTGTATCTCGTACAGAACGTGTTTGTTGTCGTAAACCCAATGCAGCAAGCTCAGGGAAGGCATTTGCGAGTCTTCATCAACAACACTTGGCTTGCAAGAACGGCAATTCGTTGTTTCTGCAGGTTTATTGAGAATGAAATCCGTTAAAAGCTCGACTTGCCTTTTCAGGTCCAAAACAGCCGTCTGGAGGCCAGATAGCGTGTCGTCTGCTGGCTCCATCTCCTCAGGGTTGGGGAAGAACTTGTCGTGTTCCACCTCCCTCAGCTTTGCAAGTATTTCCGGGTGGTGTTCCCCAGTATTCCAAGGTATCTTGAGGTTTAGGCAGACTTTGCGCAGTCCATCATTGGTCAGTATTGCTAGATCAAGCTTTGGCATACTTTGCCCTTACACTCAGACACTTTGTAGAGCTAAAAGGAACCGGTCAGAGAATCGTGAGCGTCGTCAAGAAGCCATGAATCGATTAATAAGGCTGTGACGACATACTGTAAAAGTTGAATCTCTAAAGCGCGTCAATTTTTTAACGCGAAAAAATCCATGGTCACCATAAGAAACGTTACACGTGTGTTAGTCCTTCTCTCCTCAGAACAGGAGAAATAGAAGACAGGTGCGTGATTGCTGAGTCATTAAACTTTGTACAGGCTAAATCAAATAAAAACAGTTTGTCTCTTTCCCTCAGATCGGTTACTATTTTATGACTTGGGGCTCCCCGCGTGCTAGTTTGTACGTGAAGTGTGTGGGTTACAGTGAGGGCTGCGTCCCACCCGCCTGTGTGGATTCACAGGAAGTGTGAGTTACGAAGTCTGAAGAAAATGTTGAACGGCCTCTGCTGGGATGACGACTACACCATAGCTCAGTGGTTAGAGCATCGCTGGCTACAAGCGAGGGTCCCTGGTTCGAGTCCTGGTGGTGACAGTCAATTCTTTCTTCAGACTTTCCCGTTTGTCTCTTTCCCTCAGATCGGTTACTATTTTATGACTTGGGGCTCCCCGCGTGCTAGTTTGTACGTGAAGTGTGTGGGTTACAGTGAGGGCTGTGTCCCACCAGCCTGTGTGGATTCACAGGAAGTGTGAGTTACGAAGTCTGAAGAAAATGTTGAACGGCCTCTGCTGGGATGACGACTACACCATAGCTCAGTGGTTAGAGCATCGCTGGCTACAAGCGAGGGTCCCTGGTTCGAGTCCTGGTGGTGACAGTCAATTCTTTCTTCAGACTTTTCCCGTTTGTCTCTTTCCCTCAGATCGGTTACTATTTTATGACTTGGGGCTCCCCGCGTGCTAGTTTGTACGTGAAGTGTGTGGGTTACAGTGAGGGCTGCGTCCCACCCGCCTGTGTGGATTCACAGGAAGTGTGAGTTACGAAGTCTGAAGAAAATGTTGAATGGCCTCTGCTGGGATGACGACTACACCATAGCTCAGTGGTTAGAGCATCGCTGGCTACAAGCGAGGGTCCCTGGTTCGAGTCCTGGTGGTGACAGTCAATTCTTTCTTCAGACTTTTCCCGTTTGTCTCTTTCCCTCAGATCAGTTACAGGCTAAATAGAAAATGTTTAGACCCGTCCCACTTTCAACTCTTACAGGAACAGGAGAAATGGTGGTGGAGACATGCTTGCTTTGCCACACAAAGCACACAGATATCCATAGAGAGGTGTGTTAAGGTGGCAAGCGGACCAAGCTCGGGGACAACAGTCCACTCATTGTAAACTGGCACCCTAACTTTTTGGTGTCTCCCACACGTAGGTGTAGATATCATGAAAAGTTGCTGAAAACAACAGCATATTCTGCATTGTGTGACCCGTGGAAATACTGCTTGCCACATTTGAGGTCAGAAAAGTCCAAGAACAGGGAAATAGAAATTCAGCCTGGTTTTACAAAATGAGGATAGGTATGCCGTGGCAAAATGTGTGAAGAAGCAGATCCCAAACCCAGATTTGAATTGGGTTTTTGATCCTCAATTCGGCCCAAATCGGATTTTCAAAAGCCAGCGGGACTGTATCCGATGAATGGACTGTAACTATTGGGTATTGAGCTGACTTGATAAGCAGGAACACCGGATACCTCAGAGTTGGGAAATACCCTTAGTCCACTTCTGAGCTCTATGAGCTCAAGAGAGCAACATGAAACAAAACGTGAAGATCGTTTCAAATCAAAACCGTGGTGGGTTTCCGTTAGTGTTGAAATTATCACACCGGGTACTCGTTAGCTCGCTCGCCAGAAACTTGGCTCATTTGTGCGGCGAGCTCGTTTGCACTAATGAACGCCGTACTCCGTACACATGGCAGTACATGGCCGTATAATTCTATGACTCCCTGGTCGATTTTGGGTCCAGTCCCGCGCAAAGTGAAAATCACTCGCAGTTACAGTGATTGCATGCCTGCACAACACTGAGTTGTTTCAGTTGTCGTTGCAGCTTTGGTGGACTCCACTGTCTTGTTCCGCATCTGCTGACCTGTCGCAGAGCAGGCTTCTGTCACCTCTCTGCGACACTAAGCTTAGAGCTGATGTATCCAAGGTGATATCATCGGCGAATTCTAGGTGACAAATACCAGACGGTAGATGAGAGTCGATGGAACTGATGTAAACAGAAAAAGAGACGGCCCGAGAACGCTACCTTGAGGTACACCACTTGAACACTCCGAGTAGCATGACGATAAAGAACCAACTTAAACGCGTTGTTTCCAACCCGGCAAATAGCTGACAAATCAGGCCAGAGCAGTGCCACGTACATCCTTTCCGTGAAGATCATCTAGCAGAGTTTGGTGGCGAACCTTATCAAACGCTTTTGACATATCGACAAACACAATACCAGTGGACTGCTTATGGGCCCTAGCTGCGCTTCATCGATGTACGGCCAGCCGGTTTCAGCAGGGTTCTTTCTCCTCACCGATTATTCACCAAAAAATTGTGTTAGAATTGACAGTTTTTTGGTTCTTTTATTCTAACGTAGTTCTGTTGAAAGCATTGATTAACTTCTTCCATTATTGTTGAAAAGTGAATGGTGAAGAGCAAATCTGCACAAAATCACTTCCTATATGTGAAGCCGCAGGAATCGTCACCACTGCTACTAAGTCTTTTTGTTATTTTTGTTTTCTTCTGCTAGTTGTAAATTGCACAGTGCCAGCACTCATGAATGGCAATGCAGACAAGACAATGGTGTCCTATCCTCAGAGTGTAAACTACATCTGTAATACTGGTTATAGAATGAATGGATCTGCAACACCAATGTGCAGTGCTGGTGGAACTCTACAAATGCCTATTTGCAACAGTAAGTGCAAATGGTGTAAACTATGCACAAAAGCATGGTGCATGATGAGAAAATTGTTCCTTTAACCTCCTTGCCATTCACGGACCTGTGCAGATTCCGTAAAATCCCGTCAGAGCGCCCGTCTCTCCCATCCGCCCCTCGCTGACTTCTTGTCAGGAAAGTGATTGATTGGATCCTTGTATGACTCTGTGAGGCCGTAATGTACTGTATACGCGTGCTCGACCTTGTTGGAAATGTGCCCACCCTCTTGACCAGAGATCGCACAAATCCTCAGTTTTGACGGCTCTGTAAGACTCCTCGCTCCTGACCTTTGGTCGGTGTACGAGATGCACGAACAGTTTTCGTACGGTGAGTACTTTTTCGTGTAGTACCAAGAGTACTGAATACGGCAAGAAGGACTGGCCCATCCACCCCTCCCCACCTGAACCTACTCGAAGCGTCGAGGAGGTAGAGGCGATCTGGCGAGATTTACGGTACTGCGTAACTCCGAGACTCTTAGTTGACATCGGTTGGAGCAATGCGTCCAAACATGGCATACTCAACGAGGTGTGTTCCCAGGCCGCCGGCAGTGGAAGTGCTGATCCAAAACTGCCAGATGTTGCTGAACTGGTACCGAACTAAACATTTTGAACGGTGGCATTCGGCTGTTCAAAAGTGCAGCAATCTCTTCTCCTCTTCTCTTCCATGCGCTCTCAACCGACTACCCTTAGTATCCATTACACACACCAATAATTTGATGAAAGGGATACGGCCGTACTGGTACTTCAAGCATTGGTACTGAAATTATTCCTTCTGGCAGTTGTTTTGCCTACGAAAGACTCGTCGGAGAAGGTGATACTCATTAGGATAATTTAAATTGACATGTCAAATATTTATAGTAAAGAAAAGTTCCAAGGAACTACAAGTTTCTCTATAAGGTCCACTAACACCACTAGTTACTGGACAAACAGCTCATGTGATAACATTGAACAAAACTGAAACAACGCTACTGTTTTTCTACAACTAACTGGGAACTCAGCTCTAGCACGTGTTTGGTGTGTCTTGGTTGCACTCGCCTTCCCCACCTACTTTTTCATAGAACTAATGACCTTCCAAGTTGGAGGGTTGTTGGAGAGCGCACTTATCAGCAAAAACATTACTTTTGGCTGCGAAAAACAGACCGCCACATCGGCCGTGCAGCGCAGTAGGTTGGAACCTCCTTAACCCAGAGGGTGAGGGTGTTGGAGAACTAACACGCTACTATAAATCCGTTGATTACTTTAACCGCTTGCCTGTTTAGAAACCTGAAGCTTGTCCTATTGCTAAGGAAGTGTTTGCATATTGCATTCGGGCATGACTTTGAAAATTTGGTTTTCATCCTCCGGTTCGGCCTTATTATCTTCAGCGCAGCGCTAACAGGTCCAGAAGAAACCAAAATGATTATATTCTGCTCTGTCTGCATGATGGTTATATTTTAGATCAGCAAAAAATTCTCGGAGCCAAAAACTCAAAGCAAGACGGCAAAAATCCTGCATCCGTTTTTTATGCTACATTCTTCTCCTGTTACGTTTCTCTGTCATCTCATTTCTAGTTGTCAATTGTACTGCGCCAACGGTCGCCCATGGCCGTGGTGACAAGAGAGTTCTGTCATACCTTCAACAAGTGAATTACACATGTGACACTGGTTATAGTGTAAATGGATCAGTAACAGCAACTTGCAGTGCTACTGGAACTTTGACAGAGCCGAAGCCTATCTGCAACAGTAAGTTGTTAGAACATTGCTCTTTCATATCATCTGTTGTCAAGACGTATTTAAGCAAGCACACATACCTACGCCACCTTTCTCTTTGTCACCACTGCCACATGGAACTCACTCCCAGCTGGCATTCGTACTGTATCCAGTCCGAGATGCTTTATCTCTATTGTCCGCACACACTTTGCTACCACCCGTTATAAGCCCTCTGGGGTCACATTCCACGTAGAGTAGCAATGTCATGGCACTGTGCAAATTTGCTACTTCCATGTATCTTTATATCAATTTCCTTTTCTGTTTACTGTCTCTTCGGCTTCTTCTTCATTATCAGCCATTGGCGCACACAATCACTCTATACAATCACCTTCTGACGATGGGTGACTGGCCCGAAATGTCAATAATTTTCCCGACATCGCTAATAAAAGAATTTTCAGCCAGCGCATGCGCCAAGAGTGAATAGCAACTAAATAGAGCGGTTGTCAGTTGACAAACCCTCTGTATTTTAATAACCTTCTTTTTCTAAGAACGATGTCAAATCCAGCAACACCGTCCTTCATGGGCGTGTTGAACGGTTACAAAGAAGCAGTTTGCACATCCTTGTGTCCATGCATCGCTGTGTTCTTGTTCTGCTAGTTGTGAATTGCACAGTGACAACACTCATGAATGGCAGTGCAGACAAGACAATGGTGTCCTATCTTCAGAGTGTGAATTACACGTGTAATACTGGTTATAGAATGAATGGATCTGCAACAGCAATGTGCAGTGCTGATGGAACTCTACAAATACCTACTTGCAACAGTAAGTTCAAACAATGTAAACCATGACGTAGTTTTAAGCATAATCTGAGAATTGTTACTACTGTCTCCTCTACATTTACAGATCTAGCTATATTCTTGGTGACACAGATCTAACTATATTCTGGGTGACACAAACCTAACTATATTCTTGGTGGCACAAACCTAACTATATTCTTGGTGACACAAACCTAACTATATTCCTGGTGACACAGAACTAACTATATTCTTGGTGACACAGATGCTTACAGTGTAGGAAGCAATTGGGGTGCACACACACATGCACACACACACACACACACACACACACACACACACACACACACACACACACACACACACACACACACACACACACACACACACACACACACACACACACACACACACACACACACACACACACACACAAACACACACACACATACACATACACACCCAAAAACACATATACACGCCCACACACACACACACACACACACACACACACACACACACACACACACTCATCTCATCTTGAATGAAACGAAGACACAGATCATGCCGATATTGCCAGTACGATCCCAAACATTTGACTTGCAAGTGCAATGTAATGGACTGCCTCTGCCAACTGTTCGCTCTGCGAAATATATAGGTCTCCACTTTGATGCGGACATGAGCTGGAACACCATGGTCGACCACGTCGCAAGGGGCGTCGCATCAAAAGTTGGCGTGCTCAGACGATACGCTACATTCCTGCCTTTTCAATGTCGCATAGCCTATTTCGTTCTTTCATTTTATCACACTTTATGTATGCTGCTTCTGCTTACTTACCATTTCTCACGGCGTACCAAAGTCGACGGCTTAATGGGCTCTTCAAGCGTGCTGTACGCACAGTCTGCAGGGTACCTCCGGGGACACCCACAAGCAATATTCTTACACTCATGAACATCCAAACATTGACCACATACGCCAACATGCACCTTCTGGTTTTTATCTGGCGTTGTCTCCATGACTCCTCTAACATAAGTATGTTATTCGCTAACTTTTTCAGCCGCAGTAATTCCACTCAAACTCGTGGTGGGCACAGCAATTTACTGATTGTCCCAGCAAGCCCAACTGCATACCTTGCCAACCGTGTTACCTATGCTGGGGCCATCTTATGGAACCAGCTCCACGCTGCGGTCAGGCAAGAAAGAAAACGCAATCACTTTAAGTCAATGGCTCTTGCCTTTTTGCTTACCAGATAAGTAAGCCTCTTTAAATGCTGTATGCACTACTCTTTCCGTTATTTTCTTCCTATGCAAGTCGCAACTCCTGTTTTGAGTTGTTTTTCTTCTCTCTTTTTCTTTCCCTACCAGTTGCTGTTACACTCAATGATCCTTATGCACAGATATACAGCATTCCTTCACTAGTGGGACCATTGTTATTAGGCTAGGGCCTGTTTTGGACTTCCCACTCTAAATAAAGAATACAAACAAAACAAACAAACAAACACACACAAACACACACACACACATGCACGCACGAGCGCATGCACACACATGCATAAACACACACACACACACACACACACACACACACACACACACACACACACACACACACACACACACACACACACACACACACACACACACACACACACACACACACATGCACGCACGAGCGCATGCACACACATGCATAAACACACACACACACACACACACACACACACACACACACACACACACACACACACACGCAGACATACAACCACCCACACACGTACGCATGCACATACACACACCCATACACACATACTCACCTCTGTAGATGCTCAGATAACTCTCTCCGAAAGGCTCACACAAATGATGCTTGACAAGGTGCCTTCCTTTACTATGCAGGACATAGTAGTAAATGTGTAGATCACAGTTCAAAGTGAGGTTACCGCTACCAACGACTGTTAGAAATACAAAGGTCAGTTTAGTTCAGTTTTGTTTATTTACGGATTCTCCAGAGGTAAATGGATACCTATCATGGGAGTTTCACCAAACCAATAAAGAATGAAACTAAAATTATGTATGGAGTGGAAAAAACTCAAAACCTGAGATTTTTTCAAGTATCAGTATCGGCCAATAGAGAGGTTCTGCAAACGAAAATGTGTACAAACTGTCGCTCTACGTCACGAAGTGAGAAACTTCGCTCGAACTTTCGCAATTTTGGACGCGAAACTTGCAGGGAACGTGAAATGAACTTTCGTAGGAAGTTTCGTGAGATTGGGTCATTGCGTACATGCAATTGGCGCGTGCAAACTACGAAAATGTGCACAACACAAAGTTCGTGCGAAAGTTCGTACACATTTTCGCAAGGCCTGTTGCGAGACTTAGTTCGAATTTTCGTTGTGCAGAACCTCTCTATTAGAAAGTTTTGGTGCTCCCCCTTCAAATATTTGCCATACTTCATGCTAGAGTTTGGCCTCAGGTCGTTGAATCTTTCAGTAACCTTTTGGTCTTCTGCCCTGTTATCGCATGTTCTGGCTGCTGATGATCTTGTTGCAGTCATGGATAGTTGTTTCATAACTCCTTTCAAGGTGGTTTTCTTCTACTTCACTTTTGTTGTTGGCTCAGTATCCGAGTTAAGCTTCAAAGTGTGATAGCATTATCGTCTTCGAGGAACATGTATCAAAATCGAACTCTGAGAAAAGGGGCTGGTCCAAATATGGAGGTCCTTGCTTGCCACCGATTGACTTGTAACTTGACTGACTCATGATTGCATCTAGGGTGCACAAGATTCCCGTCGAACCCGTTGAAACAAATTATTGATCTGTGATGGATTCCCTAATTTGGCGAGTTGTCTCCTATAAATATTAGGTGCCTCCTCCCATACAATCTTATCTATAACACTTAACGCTACCAACCTCACTGTGGCCTCAAGGCATCGCCACCTTGGCCTCCTCATACAGCAGAATCTATGCTGGAACTCGCATGTTGACTACATCATCACTAAAGCGACCAGGAAGATGTTCCTTCTCCTGCGACTACGCAATTCCTTAAACACTTCTGCTCTCTCCTCCATCTGTCTAACCTACATCCGCCCTATTCTTGAGTATGCTTGCACTGTCCTCTCACCCCTCCCCGCAACCCTGAACGACCGGCTTGAGCGCATCCAACGGCGCGCTGCTCGCCTCTGTTTGCATCTCCCCCTCTTTGAACACAGAACCCACTCCGTGCTGCTGCACCGACTCAAATGGCCATCACTCAGCAGCCGCCGTACCCTCTCCCATATCCTTCTTGCACACAGCCTGCAGCATAGATATGCACCACCACACCTTCTTGCAATTCACCTACCCCGAATACAACCCATTCGCACGCTCAGGTTCCCCCGAACCTTTGAGCTACCCACAACACGTACAAACCGGCTAAGAGACTCCCCCATCTATGCTTCTCTTGATCTCTTTAATAGCATCCCACCCAGCATCCGGCAAATCAACCCCAGACGAGATTTCAAAGCAAACATCCTACCACTTGTCATCTCTTCCGTATGTACTTGCTCACATTGCTCAGCACATCTATAGCTCCATTGCGCCCAGCCTACGTGATTAACTCCCAATTAGTATTGCCATCGCTACTGCCTCAGCAAGCAGCTAAACTTTGATCTCTCTGTATCTGATCCCCGTGCCTGTAATTATTTTTCTCTTATTGGCCACAGGCCATCGTGAGAATAAAAGAATTCAAACCTTGCCTGCAATTATTTTTCTCTTATTGGCCACAGGCCATCGTGAGAATAAAAGAATTCAAACCTTTCCTAAGCTGGCCGCCCTGCATGCACCCGTAATACATCATACTCACCTTTCGTTCCGTTGGCCTGGGTAGCTCCTTGCGCGCCCATGTTTGCCATAGCTACCCAGGCCCTTTATATTGCGTTGTTTCTCAGTCGATATCTCTCTCCTCAATAATCTCGCTCTCTTCCATAATCTCTTTCTCACTCTTCAATGTAGTCGTTTCGTTCGTCTTGGTCTCTTGTCTCGTCGTCTATAATAAATGTCGTTCCCATCAACCTACCTGTTCCCGATTCCAGTCACTTGTGTTAGTGAGTAAGAAACCTCTCGAGTTCATACTCAACATAAACATAATATTATTGTGATTGTTTACTCAGTCCCTTGTTGTTTTACTCTCTCTCTCTCTCTCTCTCTCTCTCTCTCTCTCTCTCTCTCTCTCTCTCTCTCTCTCTCTCTCTCTCTCTCTCTCTCTCTCTCTTTCTCTTTCTCTCTCTGTCCTCTCATTTCTAGTTGTCAAAAACTATTGTACTGTGCCAACTGTGGCCCATGGCCGTGGTGACAAGAGAGTTCTGTCATACCTTCAACAAGTGAATTACACATGTGACATTGGTTATAGTATAAATGGATCTGAAGCAGCAACTTGCAGTGCTACTGGAAATTTGACGGAGCTGAAACCCGTCTGTAACAGTGAGTTGGAAGATCTGTGATACAAGCATCTCTAAGACAATATCATCCAATTTTCATATCCGTTTTTCACTGAGCTACAGAAAATGTTCAATATCAGACAAAGAGCCTAGAGCATGCGGGTGGTTTTCACTTCATTTTTCCAAACTTCTTTTGTTCTTCTTCACATTGTTCTTTTGTACTTGTTCTGCTAGTTGTGAATTGCACAGTGCCAACACTCATGAATGGCAATGCTGACAAAACCTTGGTGTCCTATCTTCAGAGTGTGAATTACACGTGTAATACTGGTTATAGAATGAATGGATCTGCAACAGCAATGTGCAGTGCTGATGGAACTCTACAAATGCCTACTTGCAACAGTAAGTGCAAGAAAACATAAAGTATAATACTGTAGCAGTAGAACGTCAGTACCGTCGTGCAATGTTATCGCTTGAGCTGATTGTTTAGTAACTGGTGGTGTTAGTGGACATAATAGCAAAACTTGTAGTTCCTTGGTGTAACAGGTTTAATCAAACTTGAAAAGTAAGAGGCCTGGTTGAGCGTGCCTCGACCAGTTATATGCAAAATGTGATAGTATACATGTGGCAATGGCGCCAATGAAGGTGCTAATAGACAGGCGTAAGACGCATGAGGTGCGAGGGAGTGTAAAGTTGTAGAGAACAGGGGAAAACTGTTACATCATCCCCCTCCTATGGAGAGGAAGGAGCTTATAACCGAAATGCTCAAGTGGAATAGAGTACAATAAGCGCAAACACGTGCGAGACGAAAAAAGGCTTCACACTGAAGTAACACAATAAGACGACTGAAACTCCATGCAAATAAAGTGTAATAAGCTCAACAAATGTGTAAGGTGAAACTAGAAGTTCAACTGCAAAACTAGCGGGCAGAAGCCAAGGTTTTGTACTTCTGAAGTGGAACAATGTCATTACCAGATTCATCCAACAAATAATGTTCAGGCTCCCAAGTGGCATCAGAGTAGCCTTGCCACTTGACTAGGTACTGAAGCTGATTCTGCCGGCGGCGGTGACTGAGAATGTTCTCCACCACATAGCGGGCATGACCATCAAGGTCCGTGATAGGCGGAGGCGTAGGCTGTCTCCTATTAGGAATAGCGTTCTTCTCGTAGGCACGGAGTGCCGACACATTAAATACCGGGTGACAGCGGCTGGTATGAGGCAACTTGAGCTTGTAGGCATTCGGGCCGACCACATGGGTTATAGGAAAGGGGCCAAACCACTTGGGGCGTAATTTATGGGATGGTCGGTCCCGAGCTTCAGGAGTCAGGAGGAAATCCCGGTAGACCATTACCAAATCTCCCACCTTCAGCTTTCCCTCGACCCTTGTCGAATCTGCATAGAAGGCCTGACGAGCTTGAGCTGCCACTAGCGCATCTTGTGAGATCTTGACCGCGTCTTGTCTTGCTTGCAACCAATCAGCTGAATCTCTGCCTCCCTGAATAGGGTTGAGGAAGTCGGGTGGCGCTCTGGGATTTAGACCGTAATTTAAGAAGAACGGTGTGTTTCCTGTAGATGATTGAGTAGCGCTGTTGATAGAAAACTCACAGAGAGGTAGGAGCATATCCCAGTTATCTTGTTTATGATTTACAAAAGCCCTCAGCACATCCTCTACTATTCTGTTTACTCGTTCAGTTAGGCCATCTGTCTGAGGGTGATTGGCAGTACTAAATGCTAGTTTCGTTCCTAAGCGATCAAACAATTCCTGAAAAAATGCTGCCATAAATCTTGGATCACGATCACATACACATACAATACTAGAACTCAAACCATGAAGTCGAAATACATGTTGAATATACAGATCAGCACTTCCTTTAGCGTCAATAGTAGAGGAAGTAGGTGCTAAATGTACACACTTTGTCCAGCGGTCTACAAATACATATATAGCATCATGACCTGTATCGGTCCTAGGCAAACCCATGATAAAATCCATCGAGATATCCGCCCACGGCTGACTGGGCACTGGTAAATTCTGCAAGAGACCAGTTTTTAGCTGGCCGCCTTTAACTCGTTGGCAGACGTCACATGACTTGACAAACGCCTTTACATCCAGTCCCATTCTGGGCCAATAGAAATATCTAGCGAGTCTGAAATAGGTGCGATCTCGACCGGGATGCCCCGCAGTCACACAGTCATGGTATTCTTGAAGCAGGGCGAGTCGGAGTTTGCTACTCTTTGGAATGCATAACCTGTTCTGTGGTGAAGATCTGAGATAAAGATAACCGGGTGTTTCATTTAGAAGGTAACGGTCGTGCAGATTGTCATGGCTTGAATTTTTCAGTCTCCTGATAATGGGAGCAAGATCCTTGTCGCACTTGTAACCGCTGACAATTAACTGCGCTAAGTCTGGATTAATCTCTAGGGTATGCTCTATGGCATTCAACTGAATGTTAGGATAGGATGACCCGCCTATTTCAGAATCACTGAACAGATCTGGACGGCGTGAAAGCGGGTCGGCAATGTTTTTCTTTCCTGGTTTGTGAAAGACCGTAAAGTCATAGTCAGCTAAAAACTCTACCCATCTTGCCTCACGCTTGGTGAGAGTCGGTTTGGTTCGTAAATAGACAACACCCATATTATCAGTCATCAGGTCAAAGTGGCGGAATAGATAGATTCTCCAGCACTTTAATGCAAATACCACAGCCAACGTTTCCCTCTCGGCCGCAGTATAGTTGCGTTCTGCAGCTGACAGTTTCCGACTACAATAGGCTACGGGATGCAAATCCATATCTTCTCCCTGCTGCAGGAGCACACCCGCCACGGCAAAGTCACTTGCGTCAGTTTCTACCGTGAAGCTTTTCTCAACATCGGCCAGTTGCAACACTGGCGCCTCGAGTAATGCTGATTTTAGAGACTCGAATGCCTTCTGTCTAGCAGCGCTCCATTCAAAGCGTGAATTTTTTCCGGTGATTTCTTCTAATGGACGAGAGATGGTCGAGTGTCGATCTATGAACCTTCGGAAATAGTTTGCAAAGCCAAGAAACTTCCTAACATCAGTTACTGACGACAGAGTTGGCCATGTTTCCACAGCACTTATCTTCTTGGGATCAGGGGAAATTGATGTGCCGTTGATTTTATGCCCCAAGAAGAGAACTTCTCTCACGCCGAATTCGCATTTAGACTGTTTGCAATACAGCTCACTATTTCTAAGTGTTTCTAGAACTGTTTGAAGATGATGCTGATGATCTTCCCAGGTCTTGCTGAAAACTAGAATGTCATCCAAGAATACTACAACGAATTTTCGGAGATGCGGTTGCAGAATAGAGTTCATGAGTGACTGAAAGGTGGCCGGGGCATTAGTCAGCCCGAATCCCATGACTCTAAATTGGAAGTGGCCGAACGGCGTATTAATGGCCGTCTTAGAAACATCCGAGTCTTGAATTCTGATTTGATTGTACCCCGACCGCAAGTCCAACTTGGAGAAATATGCACTGCCCTGGATCGTGTCGAATAAGTCATCAATATTAGGAAGACAAGCTTTGTTTTTGATCGTAATTCTATTCAATTCTCGCCAATCGCACACCATTCTCAGAGTACCATCCGACTTTTTCACAAAAAACACAGGTGCACCGTATGGCGACTTACTTGGCTCAATGAATCCCTTCTCAAGTAATTCTGACAGCTGTGACTGGAGCTCGTCCATCTCTGGTTTCGGCAGGCGGTAGGCGGGTCGAGACGGTGGTCTGGCTCCATCTTCTATCTGGATTTCATGGTCGACTGGTCTCTTCGGTGGAAGCTCATTCGGCAGCTCGTCTGGAAATAAATCCTGGTACCTCTTGAGCAGGTTCTGGATGTCTTGTTGCTCTGATTCCTGGAGTTGTGGCCCGGAACGATTCTCCTCGTTTGCAGCAGTGACCCATGCAAGAAACCCC